TATAGACCATCCGAGGTTTGTGGGCGTCTGTAAACGATGGCGCTTGCACCCTGGTGTACGCTGGCACTTCTCCGGCACCTGGCTCTCTGGCGGCAGGTGCACTTGCACTCCCGCCGAGTATGCGGGTCGTGAGCATGGCTGTCCAGTCATCCACGACTTTTCTGTTATTGTTGTTGGTCAAAACCCTTGTAGCGGGCAGCCATCATGACCGGTCTGGCGTCACTGTTCAAGACCTCGCTGCTTCAAGGTCATTCACTTCTTTGCAGTGAGCCGTTCCAGACGCGCTGACCTGAAGTCACACGACCCCGACTTCAGCTCGGACACAATGGCGTCCACACAGCGTCGCGGCTACCCATGCGCCACTTGAACGCGCCACCGCCTGCAACCAGCAAAATAAGCCACTGGGACACCAGCCCTCGGCAAATGCAACACACACACTGACTGGCCACCACTTGAGTTCGGTCCACGAGAAGCGGCTGCCAGCATTGTCCCAGAGACTCTCAGGCATGACTGGACGCAGTCAAGACCAGCCCTGGCTTTGTCAGTGGCTACTGCTTCCTGAGAGGACAACTCCGGATTCTGTGCACAATAAACCCCTCAAGATGGTGACTTCCGTCTTCTCCCTACAACACTAGGATTTTCCCTGATTATTGTAATGCCCAGAATGCACACTCTCACACCGTCTGCCGCAACACCCTGGTCGAGTGTTTGTTGTGGACCAGAGGGTGTGAAGTGGAGCGCCTAGGTTCGGCCGCGCCATCCACCTGCGCCCTCTCCCTCCTCCGGTCGCCTTGACTCTGTCTTGGCACCGGGTGCATGTGGGGAGCAGGAGGGAGTGCGATAGATGCTGCGAAGGTAACCGTGCCTGCTTCATATCGTTGTGGAGCATGCGATGGACATAGTCGGATGCTGCCATCATCCACATAGCCGCTCTGCAGCTGCTGGTTGGGGTCAAGAGAGAGTCCTTGGGCACAACGGGACAAATGCCTTCAGTAAAAACCGATCGGCGAGCGTCCCTTTACTATTATATAAATATATGTAGAATGGTATTACCGACAAAGACAAGGGAGACTGGAATGACAATTTCTGGCTTATTAGCCGTCGTCAGCCAGCCATACCCAAGCCCGAAGTGTGCAACACCCGAGCCTCGAACTCGCGACCTGTTGGTTTAGAAGTCAACGCCTCTACCCACCGGGCCACGAGCCCGTTGCCTTGTCGGTTTTCGATCGGGAATATACAATGTTAGGGGGCGCTCACCGATCGTTCATACGGAACTCACTCGTTCCGGTGGGTAGGGGCGTGGACATCTAAACCAACAGGTCGCGAGTTCGAGGCTCGGGTGTTCCACACTTCGGGCTTGGGTATGGCTGGCTGACGACGGGTAATAAGCCAGAAATGACCATTCCAGTCTCCCTTGTCTTTGTCGGTAATACTATTCTGCCTATATATCATGCGCCGCCGTGCGGCTGCTGTTTGGGCTCATGAGAGAGCCCTTAAGGCCCAACGGAACGAGTGAGTTCCGTATGGACGATCGGTGATCGCCCCCTACCATAAATGCATATATATATATATTATGATAGTGGGCGCTCACCGATGACGGCTAATAAGCCAGAAATGGCCATTCCGGTCTCCCTTGTCTTTGTCGGTATTACCTTTCCAACATATATATATATATATATATATATATATATATATATGAGAAGAAGAGACGATCTCGGGAACCATAGTTGTATTGTCCTGACGTTTCAAAATCAAACAAGATTTCATCGTCGGAGGTGAGTTTTGTACCAGCCTCACAGTATTTATAGGTGGTGATGGTCTCCTTTCAACGGGTTTCCCTCTCGTCGGGGGCCGGCGTTCGGGCGCTAGCCGTCATCGCACGTGTTCGCATGGATCTTAGTTCTCGTCCTAGGCTGGTAATCTTCTTTACGATCTCGTGACGGCCTGTGTTCTCACCTGCCGGATGAGTGGCAGTGACGCTGGCACCTTCGTCGGGTCCGTTTCTGCTACTGCGACCGTCCGTTTTCTCACCTGCCGGACAAGTGGGTGTCGCGACTGTTGTGACGATCGCACCTTCGCCAGAATGCTATTACCGAAAAAGACAAGGAAGCTTGGAATGGTCATTTCTGACTTATAAGCCGCCGCCAGCCAGCCATACCCAATTCCGGCCTCGATCAACCTGGAATTCGAAGCCGTTTGCCTTGGGCATTGAAAGTCCAGTCCAGTGTCTTATCACTATGTCTTGGGCCTGTTGTGCTGTCGATTGCAATGGGAATATTGTCGAGAACATAGGACAGGTTTAGCATCCACTTATTTAAATTAATCCGTCAGCTAATCGTTCTAAAAGACAGACTTACAGTCTTGTCTTAGCTCATCTCCAATGGCTTCCATTTCAGAATTTTTTAATATTTGCATAGAAGTAAGCGACTGTTAGAGAAGTTTAATCTGCCAAATGTATGAAGAGCCATGGTCGTCGCACCAGGAGCTTAGTGGCTTTGAAGTAACTATCCCACTTGTTGGCGAGACAGTCAAGCAGAGCGAAGGCTCCCAAAGCCAACGGATGTCTCCTAGTCACGCCAACGAAGCAAGTGCAAATTTACTCAACTCCTTCCTCCTCATCTTACAGGGTCCTTTGCCGAATACCATAGCCGATTTCTGGCGAATGGTGTGGGAGCAGCGCTCAAGCATTATCGTTGCCATGACGCGATTGGAGGAGCGTACACGAATCAAATGCGAGCAGTACTGGCCAGCTATTGGTCATGGCACACGGACGCCAATGAGCAGCGCTGTCGAGGGCTGGAGCAACCATCCGCAGTCACCGACCACTTCCACCCACTTTTCACCTCCCCATCTTCTGCAGGATAACCCTATCACTCCCCACCGTCCGAGCAATTCCTTGGCACCGCTCTGTCAAGCACCTCTGGCAACCGTGACACATGGACAGATAACTGTCGGCCTGCTGGATGTCGTTGAACTGGCCTACTACACCATCCGCACATTCAGCCTCCAGAAAGCTGGGTGAGTGTTTGTCAGTCGCTTTGCCCACCGGTCTACTTAAATCGGGTGAGTAATGTTGACGTGTGCGTATCTGTGCATTGTAGGTCTCAGGAAAAACGTGAGGTACGGCAACTGCAATTCACCGCCTGGCCAGACCATGGTGTACCAAACCACCCGGCTCCCCTGCTGATGTTCCTTCGACGCGTGAATTCAGAATGCGCGCCTGAGACTGGACCAATCATCGTGCACTGTTCTGCGGGCGTGGGACGTACAGGTCAGTTTTGTAGCTTCAGTGCTACCTCTTGGTGACTACTCAATGAAAAAGTTTTGTCTTGTCAAAAATTGGCTTTCTGGAGTAGCAATCGTTAAATTCGGACAAATTTCCATCGGAAGATTCAGATTTGCTGAACAGACTTTGCTGTCGACAAATGCCCAGCACTCCAGTTTATTTATCTGGTTAAGAGATTAATTGAATTAAGTGGACAATTGAACAAATCGAGTTATATCCACTGTCCCCCATAAGTAGGAGGTGGAGATATGGAAGGATAATTAGTGGCGGTTAGTATCCTCTAGTCAGGTAAGGATGAGTGGCGTGAATGGGAAGAGCAGTGTCACAGGGAAGATGCGGATCACGGAACAGGCTCGTTCTGTAGCGCCTTGGAGTTCAATCTACCGTAGGTGGACTAACTCATGAAATGTCAACTGAAATTTCGAAATGCTTTTTCGTTTCGAAAAGATTAATTAAATAGGGTTGTTGTTGTTGTTGTTGTTGTTGTTGTTGTTGTTGTTGTTAACTTTACAAGCCACACTGGTGAACCCAGATGCATGACGTTTTATGAAGGGCCATTTCACGGTATTAAAAAACATCACAATTAGAAACGTTTTTGAAATCGAATTGTACTCGTCCTTCGAGTATAAAATTGAAAGATGACGTATGAATGAGCAGAAGAATGAATACTTTTATATATCTTTTATGATATATAATTGAATGTCCAAGGGCATCGAAAATAAGTGGTCGGGGCATTTTACTCCAAATCCTAATTATTTGCGAAACTACTAACTCCGCATACCGGCCGTTGTTGCCGACCAGGTCCACTGTGTGCTCCACATCAAGGTGATGCAGGAACGGTGGTTCGCGCGTGAATTAGTTTATAGTGGTTGTAAATTTGTACAGCATCAGCCGTACACTCCCCTCCTTCCCCACCTGCGTCCGATGTCAAGACGGAGTCAGGAAGACCGGAGGCGGGGGAGGACGCCGGTGAATGGCAGGGCCGAGCCCGCATCTTGGCTCTCCACTCCACACCCCCTGGTCCACATATCAAATGATTAGGATTTTAACCAACAACAACAACGGCAATGAGGAGGGCCGCAGGGGTCCCCGTGTGCGCGACTTCTGCTGGCAACCGCGTCTGCCACCGCACCCAAGATGTTGGCATCTGTTATGGTGCGCAAATCCGATAACGCCTGCCAGAAGCCGATATGGTCCCCCCGTGTTGGTCCAGCGCATCTACCACATGGTCCGTCCAAGACCCACTCTGATGAGGACAAACGTCACCCGTCTGTTTTGGTGCGCTTTTTGCAAACTGAACTACGTCGGGATGACTGGGAGTTTATTTGTCTTCCAGGGCGACTAACTTCCAACCCGAATCCAACCCAGAATCCGATATGGCCGCCGTGTTTCCCCACCGCACGGAAAGGGCCAGACTCCTCCCAGTTGAGTGAGTCAGCATCGGAAACAGCAAAATACGCGTCTGGGCTCCTAGCCGCTATCTTTGTTGGGAGTATGGTGGAACCACTGTTACAGCCGACGGACCAGTGAGCTCGTAGCTCATTTGGTAGAGCATCAGACGCTCAATCGAAAATCAGGTGCTCCAGTCCTGGGTTTGGGTAACTTTGGATGACCACGGTTGGTAAACCGGAAATTTCCATCCCAGTTTCTCTTGTTTTTGTAGGAAACCTTCATCTACCAATGATCGTTGTGCGACTGCCTGCGGGGCTTCAGGTCGAGCCCCAAAGTGCAGTGGGGCGGTCGGTGTGCACACGAACATCATATATATGTATATGTTGTTAACCGAAGCGAAGATTTTAGCAGATTATGCTACTAGTTGTACTAGTATTTTTTGCAAAATGAACATCCCGCAATTATTTCGACGAAGTTTGTCATCGACTGAAACACTCATAGCACCTCCGGGCCTGGCCCTAAAATCATGCCTTGCACACTTAACTCCAAGCTTTTCTCTTGATAATTTGCGAACTGATTAACCTCACTCTTAGCTCGTAACCCGATCGGTGAAGGCCTATCCTACGACGTCTACACGTATATGCAACCGACGGGAAAACGAGCCCGTGGTTCAGTGGTTAGAGGCACTGGTCTTCCAACCAACAGGTCTCGGGATCGCGTCACGGGTGTTTCACACCTCGATGTTGGGTCTGACTGGCTGACGACGGCTAATAAGCCAGAAATGGTCATTCCAGTTTCTCTTTGTCAGTAATCGCAGTCTGCCTATATCATGCGCCGCTGTGCATCTGCTGGTTGACCTCGAGACGGAAAGCCGGTAATGCAGAACAGGACGAGTGAGTTCCGTAAGAACGACCGGTGAGCATCCCTTTCTGCCATAGGTAGCGGCCGCTCACGGACGCAAACGCCAAAAATTATCAATTTTTCAAGTGAACTACCAGCTGTTAACTGCTGTTGGTACATTGACTCTCAGTCTGCGTCTGACGACGACCCGAGGAACCGGCGTTGAAAATTTACGCAATAAAGTCTCTTTTTCCAAAGAACACCTTTGACTTATATTTCTTGAAATGCCTTTCTTCCAATATTTCTTTTTATATGATTGCACATATGTGGGAAGTCGAGTGAAGGATAGGGCGGGGGGGACGCATATTGGTGGAATTTTGGAAATGAGACAAGCATTCTTTTCCAAATGTGCGAGGTCGCAGGCATCCGCTGATGACGCCGCAGAAGTTACTACCCTTTCTGGAATAAGTGAAGCTCCCTTATTCTTCCTTTCTTCCCAAGTGCTGCAGTAGGCATACATTCTACCATCTGAAGTCCCAACGTGTCTTTTTGTACACATGGAGTTAGCCAAACGTCTACATTTTCTGTATGGCCTTAATAAACAGTAACAGTTCTAGTGGACGATCTGTCCTGTTCTGATTCTGACAGTATTTACGTTTTTGCGTAAATAGGTGCCTACATTGTGCTGGATATCCTGCTGCAACAGATGCGACGGGAGCACGCCATCAACGTGCCCGCCGCCGTAGCCAGACTTCGCAGCCAACGCAACTTCATGGTCCAGACGGAAGACCAGTATGCTTTCATCTACGAGGCTCTGGTGGAGGCCTCCTTGAGCGGTAACACGGAGCTGCCGGCCCGCCAGTTGAGAGATCACTGGCTGAAACTGACTGCCCCCACTGGAGACACCGTTAGTGCCGCTGACACCCTTGAAAACACGGGTATGACGCTGGAATTCGAGCAACTCATCAGCCAGACCATAACCTCGCTGGCTAACACGATCGCACACCGGTCACCTGGTGGCCTACTCTCCTACCTGGACAGACGATCCGCTTCTGTAAACCAGAGCACCTCGGGGAGCTTCCTCGACCCGAGCATCGCTGGATCGAGTGTAACTGAACTGGCTGGCGCGCAACCGGTAAGCGGGCCTTGTCCCACGCCGATTGTCTGACTGCTTAATTGCTTCACATATATATACATAGGTTAGGGGGCGCTCACCGATCTTTCTTACGGAACTCACTCGTCCCGTTGTGTCTTATGGGCTGTCTCTCTCGAGCCCAACCAGCAGCCGCACAGCGGCGTATGATATAGGCGTAGACTTTTAACTAACAGGTCGCGAGTTCGAGCCTCGGGTGTTCCGCACATTTCGGGCTTGGGTATGACTGGCTGGCGACGGCTAATAAGCCAGAAATGGCCATTCCAGTCTCCCTTGTCTTTGTCGATAATGTCATTCTGCATATATGCATATATATCCAATCAGGAATGGGCGTACACCTATCGATTGACTTCACGAAGCAAACAAGCTCCGTATGGGTGGAAAAGATCACGAACAAGCAACCAATTGCCGAGCCGAAGTCGGCAAAGTCATAATAGCAGCGAGGAGGGACGACAGACCATGTGGGTAGATTGATACATTACTGTTTCGGGCTTATTGTGCTTTCATTCAGCCAATCATAACCCTGACCACCAGCAGCTGGGACCAGAAACACAAAAATGCGCCAGGTGCGTCTGTGCGCATGTTTGTGTTTCTGGCGCAATAGCGTCATGAAAATTAAGCACCGGTTAAAGCCTGAAGAACAATCTGGAGTAGTATATCGCAGACTGGGTGCATGCTGGAATCGCGCATACACGAACATAAGCCGGCTGGGCGACGAGGTGACGCATTATCACAAGTGGCCGCCCACACCTACGAAATGGGTCACGAGTTTAACTTCGCAGCCACCAAAATATTCGCCACGCCGGAAAGAAAACAGGTCGTGAATTGATTGAAGCCTGGGCCTCGGATGAGAACTCGGTCAATCGATTTATCGATCTGGCGTCGGCGTACAGAGCCCTGCGAAGTCACCTCCAGTCTTGCGCCGTCGGTCGATGATTGACCTACATGCCTTATAACTGTCGCTTTTTCTGTTGCTGCTACTACCTCTGACGGTAGACTGCTGCACGAGTCTGAAAGCTCAGGACAATAAACGAAGTGTTTCGGTGCTCGACCCTTCTTCTAAACTGTTAGATTTCAAAACTTCTACAGTACTCAGTTATATGCGAGACTTTAAAATATGCAATCAGACTGTGCCTGAGACCAATAATAGTTTTCATAAATGTTAAACTTCCAGGAAATCATCCATTTATATGCAGCTGTCAGTGATTTGGTTCTTCTGAGGCGGGAATGTGCATGCCGACGAAAGGATATATCTTTTCAGGCTAGAGAACGATTGGTCGAAACCTCTTTTCGCAACCGTTGATCCCGTCAAGACCAAGATTAGCACACTTCTGAGACTGACATATGACAGCCCGTTCGTCCTACATGATCGCTTGCAAGAAAAAACACTGTTATGAGTGCTTGCATGTCCTGTGTACTTAGAGCTAATCTCCCTTTTCGCTGCGAAGGCATGCGAGCAGATTTGTGTCCCCAATTATTCCCGACACATCAAGCGCCGTAGCTTGGAGGGCTGCTGACGGACTCCTCCACTCAGTCCACACAGTTTACGCAGTTGTGTGTGTGTATGTATGGAGTGGAGCACTGGTGGGCTGGGGGGCAGGCTGAAGCAGCTTCTTCTTAACATGACGTTCGACACTCTCACACATGTGAGGTGTACGCCGCTCAAACTCCGTTGTTTGAAATCCTGGTACTTGTGTTTGGGGGGGCCAAGTCGTGCATGTGACGCGCGCAGACAGGGTGACTAGATTGTGTCAGCCACCGCGCCCATTCCCCGCTCCAGTCCGCTGACCGGCTCAGACAGTGGCTGGGGTGTGGGAATGGGAATGGGAAGGGAGAGTGAGGTCGGTAACTCAGCGCATTCTCCTCACTATAAACAATCTGACGCGCTTGAAGTTACCATGGCGCGCTAAAAGCCGTGGCTTGGAAGGTTGTCAACGGACGGGATAGCTTAAACCTCGCGGTCAGCCTAGTGTTGTGTGTTTGTGTGGAGCGGTCGACTGGTGGTCCAAGAGTCAGGCTGCAATGGCTCCTTCTGAATGTGGTCTTTATGACACGCTCACTCCGTCGGATCCGGACCAGGTGTGATGGCAGGCCTAGGTGCTGTGTGGACCAGGGCGTGTGGAGTAGAACGCCAAGGTGTGGGCTCGATCGTGTCATCCACTTGCGCCCTCCAACGCCTCCGATCACCTTAACTCTGTCTTGACACCGGTCCGGGTGGGGAGCAGAAATGAGAGAGTGCGGTAGATGCTGCGCAAGTCTACATTCACTAGAAGCAAAAATCACGCACAAGTCACTGTCATGCTCCCACCTTGCTGTGGAGCACACGGTGGAAATGTCGGCAACAACGGTCGAGCTATCGTCTCGTCTTACTGTTTTGCTGGCATCTTAGACTCACCTTATACAAATGGGAAAACATTTGATCGTTTATTCAGGATGGTTTGTTTGCCGCTTGTCAACAATACACATGTCTGTCCGTTCTACCGCGTTTACAATGGAAACGAAGTTGAGGGTGTTTCGCGAGAGGCAACCTAAAATTGACCAGTTTTAGGAGCGAATGTGGACTGTATGGTTAGTTAATCTACGCCACTTTTCTGGATCGGATGATGTCTTTAATGAGTCTCAGTTAATTTACTTCCTTTGAGCTGGCCATTTTGCACCGATTTGTCTGTCGAAAAACATATCAAACCCTTGCACCAAATGGGACGGGTGGAAATATCATTCTGCTGATAGTCGCCTTCAGCGGCCAACTTTGAATAACAACTAGTCCCCTCTTTTGCCCCTCTTGCTGTGTAGGTAAATCTTCTGAAAAATCGTCGGTCCGACTGTCTCCCACATGAGGCTAATCGCGTGAAACTCACTCCCATTCGCGGCGTGGACGGTTCTGACTACATCAACGCCTCCTACGTGGACAGTTACAGTTCTAGATCAGCCTTTATTGCCACACAGACTCCTCTGCCAGAATGCCTGGATGACTTTTGGCGTATGGTCTGGGAAACGGGATCCTGCATCATCGTACAGCTTGATCGAAGGGCCGAAGACACTGTGCCAGACGTAAGAATTTGTTTTTTGGAGTTTTTCCTCCCGGCATGCAGAGGTTATGGATTCACCAAGTGACCACTTGACACGTTTACTTTTAAGGCTCCTTATTGGCCAACAGAGGAGGCAATCAGATTCGACTATGTCGTCGTCGAGCCAGTGGCCGACTACGGAATGCCGGCCTACATCCTGCGAGAACTCCGCATCACGGATACGAGGAGCGGTCAGTCGAGAACTGTCCGTTTATTTGATGCCTCTGAGCTCGCCGGGGCCATTGCCCGAACGCTGGACTCAGCACAGCGCCAACCCCTCTCATCTGACCAATGGGAAGCTGATGGTCGACCGACACTGCCGCCTGCCCTGCCGCCATTAGCCGACTGGCTGCCCCTCAAGTCGGCTGTTCTCAAACCAGACTTTTTGAGCGGTTATACTCGCTCCTCCTCGGTGGATAACTACAAGAACACCATATTTGATGGGCACTTGTGCCAGGTGGCTTCGCGGAATATGATTGATCTAATCGAAGAGGTGCACAAAACCCAGGAACAGTTTGGTCTCGAAGGTCCAATCACGGTACACTGCAGGTGGGCTATAATGATATCCGTCTACTAAAAGAGCTACTAATTCTCTTTTAAGTAGCACGTTATCAGCTGACTCAATGACGTTTGCGTTTCAGGTATGGGACTGGTTACACGGGCATCTTCCTGGCGCTCTCGATCATATTGGAGAGGATGCGTTATGAGGGTGTGGCGGACATGTTCCAGACAATTAAGTTACTGTGGTGGCAACGCCGAGGACTCGTTGAATTTCCAGCTGAATACGCATTTTGCTACGCAACAGCCCTGGAGTACTTAAATTTTTTCGAACAAACGACACCTTAACTCAATGACCATGACTTTCTTATTCCTCTATCTTTTGGCCCTCCTCCTACTCCTCCACCTGTCGCCTTTCAAGACGCCTGCCACAGAGAATAACTGTTCACTCCTCTTCCCACACCTTCTCCCACCTCATAATAATGCCACGTCCCGTCAGGAGGCTTCTGAAAACTGTTGACCAGGATGTTTCGGGGGAATTGAAAGTGGTCACTTGAAGACGGCAGTTTTCCTGAACTTATCCATCTGACTTCCATTCGACCCTACCATTGTGCAGGCACATCTTCAAAACTGAAAGCCGGATGGGGGAATGTGGCTTCTTTTGATCTCCTGAGAGTTATGTATACATACAGAATTCCTATCAATTCTTACTAATGTGCGTTGTCGGGCTTGATGTGCCAAAACCGCGAGATAAAATAACAGGGTTCTTGCAAGAAGCTCTGTCCTATTATGTAGCGCTTCACCCTAAATGGCCAGCGAACTGGTGGTGCTGTCGACATCGTAAATGCAAACCACCCATATATGCATACTTTGGGACAGAGTGTACACGATAACTTTTTACATTCGTTCTTCGGTCTAGAGCCACCACGGTAGATTTTGCAGTGGCTACCACTTATCGATAAAGACTCTGATTCCCGAATAATAAAGTGCAGGTCGGATAACCTACAAAATAATAACGTGAGAGGCAGATACGCATATATGTGCATATATATGATGGTAGATGGTTACTCGCCGATCAGGTTATGGCACATGCTTTTCCCGTTGTGCTTTGGGGCTAAAACTAGAACCCTCGCAAACAGTTAAAAAGCGACTAGTGATATATGTGGATAAGGTGATACCGCCAAAGACAAGGGAGACCGGCATGGTCATTTCTGGCTTGTGAACCGTCATCAGCTAGTCATGCCCAATCCCAAGTGTGAACCACCTGAGATACGAACTTGGGATCTTTGGTCACTGAGTCGAACGCACTACCAACGCTCTACAGGGAGACATGCTGTTCCGTAGCCTGCTCAGTGAGCGCCCATCTGCCATAAATAATATTTCTGATCACAGCCGACAGGACACCGAGCCCGTGGCTTATTGGTAGAGCCTTCGACTTAATGAACAAGGATCAGGGGTTCGAGACCCAGATGGTTCACACGTGGGATGCGAGTGTTCTACCGTTTGCCAATACATAGACATAGATATAGATATAGATATATATGAAAGTGGGCATCACAAGAAGTATAATTTAAAGAAAATAGGTTTTTGATGAGTGATAAGAAAGTTTATTCCGTGAATGTTCGATGCTGTTTCCCGGGTCATCTTCAGATGTGAAGCAAATGTGTACGTGTTAAAATTTAAAAATGCCTGAAAATCGATATTGTTCTGTCATTCCTGTCGGTCGGCCCTTACTGTGGGGTGGCATCATGTTCTGATTGGCATATGTACATATATATATATGGAGAAAGAACAGGCTTTTCGGAAACGATGAAGTCGTAATCCGGAAATATGAAACTGGTGCAACCAACCCGTTGTTCAGTATAATTCAGTATATATGAGCGATTTAGACAGTCCTTGGAAAACCGTATTTGCAAACAGATGTATGAAAAATATGCAGATATTTACATAGCAGTTATGCCAGTCATTGATATAGTGTAAATATTTGGCCATCAAAATTAAGACAAAGGAAAAAGTGAGACTTTCAACTTGCCTGCGATTTGAAGGCAGATACGTTATTTGATAAAAGTAGGAAATCGTAGTACGCAAATTCTTGATGATGGTTCACCCGATCGTCATCAGACTTGAGTGAATGTGCAGAGAAAAGTTAATATCTCAAACTCGCTTGAAATCGACACCTATTCGGCGTTTACACCAGTGAGAGGCGGTACTCTGCGCCATTCTATATCGATTGATTCTCGATTCTATAATATATGCATGTACACAGTGTAAGGTCGGCCAACTTATAACAGCAGAAAGGAGGGAGGACAGGGAATGGGGATAGACTGACAAAGTACTGTTCCGGGTTTATTCACCCTTCGTATTCTCCCTGTTATTTGACTGCATGTTCGTGAATTTCGCCATGCATAAGGAGTTTATTTCCTTCGGGATGCCAATGGAACGATATGCGCCAATCTTAAATAGAATAAATATCCGACATGGAGTCACAGAGACTTTGATTAACCTTGGTTCGATGAAGGGCTTCTGGCCTATTTGGTAGAGCACACCTGCGGTGAACGGTGTTCACATGCGTCTGTGTTCTTGGCTTCCTGCCGCCGATTCCGTAGATTGCGCCGCACCCGTAAGGCCTGTCAACCGACTGTAGAATCTTGCAGAGGTCGATGAAAGTTGTTACCGTGGGCCGGAAATCGAGCGTTCACGTAGCTGCCTGGTCGATACCTCAAACCAGTTTTCCGGTATTCTGTGAAGAGAAAGAATGTCCATTGGTTGCAAAGTGTTCAGCTAGCAGTGACAGCTAAAACATTATTCTCACTGTCCGTTGGTGCTCACTCATTGGGGTACGCAGGTCTATCTAACGAAGTTCGCCTAAGAGGAACTCCAGGGGAGACGGTAGAAAACATTTGCATTTTCGCATATTGACATACGCACATAATGTCCCCTCAAGACTGTGGGCGACACTCGTTCCCAGAGGTCGCAAAAGATGAGAGACTGCTTCGGATAGGCTATCGGTACCCACCAAAACATTCCTCGTGGGTCCTCAACGGGTTGGGTGTGTGCAACGGAAAATTCAATCCTGCTGTGGCCGAGAGTGCTGTTCCCCAGGGCTCAATACTGGCACCTACCTTGTGTTTAATATATGTGGACGATTACGCAGGAGTTTTGGGCTGCGAAGCAATATTGTTTGCTGACAACATGAAAATATGGAGTGTAAGCTGGGGCGCTGCCGATGGAGATAGACTGCAGATGAAATTACATCGGTTAGAGGAGTGGCCAAACCGCTGGCTCATGTGGTTTAACGTCGGTCAGTGTGCTATACGTCGCCAAGGCAACCCAGCCAGATCCGTCAGCACAAAAGGCCACTTTCTTAGCGATCCAACATTGCGAGACGTCAAAGCCCAAAAGGACCTCGTTGTACTGACGACTAACTCCCTAAAACCCTCCGCTCATTGCTTGAGAGTGACAAAAAGGCAATGCCCGTACTGAACGCCATCAAGCAAACGTTTAGGGATTTTGACGAAGGCGTCTCCTGCAATTCCTTCGGAACATTTGCTGGGCCGCGCTGGGGATACAGCACACAAACTCGGAGACAATGTGCAGTTCAATATCAAAACCAGTATTTGGCTTAGAAGAACACATTTGTCAATTCACAGATTCAATGACCCTTTTTGTCCAGGCTGATAAAATAAACCCCCAGAACACGGTGCAAGTGACATGGAAATATTCGGCGAACCAGACCGGATAACTCTCAAAAAACCGCCAACAATTAAATACACCCGAAGAAGCTTTATACACTTCACAACGAAATTATTTATAATCGGGTGCTGTGCAAGCACAGCAATATGAAGGCACTTTTATCAGTCTTGGTGTAGCTCATATGCATTATCTCAGTGATGTCCATTTGGCAGAGGTTAAATTGCTCAGGTCAGTATCCTATTTTGCATACCAATAGTTATCCTTACCTGGTGATGTCCGCGAACGTACGTACGTGATCATGCAAAACCCGCCCATACACGCATTTACTGCAAGATCCATCGACAAATTTGTAAGATTCTCATCCAATTGTCCCAAAACTTCGGATAGTTACTGCAAATTAGTGTTCACAATTTGTTGCTGCAAATATGGAAGATAAACAACCGTCACACACCCCCTTGATGGGTACCGCTACAAACTGACAAAAACGGACGATGTAAATAATTCCCGGAAACCGCGTACGGCAGTATATATTTATCAAGGAACTCGAAGACCTCTCCTATCACTAGTCTTCACTGTGGATCTTCGAAAACTCCAAGAAGTTTTTGAGGCTTGATGATTTTTTGGGGAAGCCATGAAAAATGGTGGTCGCGCGTCTTCGTTTGTAATCGAAGTAGCAAAAGATTTCAGGTAGAAATTTCTCCACGATTTTGGCGCACTTAACGAGCCTGAGTCAAAGACTCAAGAGGAATTCCTATGCAAGTGGGTGATAGGAATCATCATAAGTAATCTGAGACACCAGCTGCTCAAAGGTTGGCGTTAAATTGACTCCATAAGAAGACGGCAATTTTTGGATCTTAATTTCAAGATAAACTTTATGGAAAGGGTTCATGCCTTGACTTTGGTGGATTCCAGCGAAAAGTAATGACTCCCAGTCCCTGTTAATTGACTCTCTAGCCATCGTAAGACGAAAGACTGGCTTATGTATTCAGTCGTTTGAGTGAATTATTGGACTTTCACATCGCTTACCTCTCAGCCTGAGCTGTTTTCCCATAGTATACTTCCATGAAAACTTATGATTATATGTTTTGAGCACTGGCTGGGACGCACGGCACTTGCTAAGTTTTTTCATTAAGGGGCCGCAGAAGACTGAAATGTAAACTTTATACTTACTGGCTGCCACCAGCCGTCAACGGCTCAACACAGAACGGGCACACGAAATCCGAAAAAGAGCCAATTTTACCTCAAATATTTCTAAGTAAATTGTGCCAACTGTGAAGCCCGAGTTGGAGGACGAAATCTAAATCCAAGTATCGTTGATGAGGGATAAATCGACTTTCGTTCCAGTCGAGTCAATCCCCTCAGGAATCGTCTCTAAGAGGCTAAACATCTCACCACCTGCTGGTCAGGTGATACGGATGTAAGAAACACTATGTAAGATAGGCATTTGAAAAAAGAAGTAAGGTTTGTTAGCGGCCGTACAAAAGTAAATAAAATTACATCAAGATTGCCAGGACATACGATCATCGACAAAAAGCGACCTAGCGAGTGATCAGCATATTTGACTCTCCACGCGGAAACTTAGGCGAGGTTTCTGAAGAATGATAACCCACCCAGCGTTAATCGCTTAAAAGAACAATCCGATAGGTCCGGCTGAAACTTAAGATGTTACTCACTAATCAAACCACGGGCATATATGGTCAGATGGTCCAGTTCAGTTTATTTATTTAAAACTTGTGTGTGCGCATTTGAACTCCCAGAATGTTACCAGCAACTGAAATGCGTCAAGAATTTGAAAATGGAGGGTCAAGATGACATTCAAGAAATGTCGAGAACCATTTGGAGAGTCGAACGAATCTGTTAGCCGCACTGGCAGATGCACGCATGGATATACGTTTGCGTAGAATACAATTACCGACGAAGACAACTGAGACCGGGATGGCCGTTTATGGCTTTCCAGCCATCTCCAGCCGGCCATAACTGATTGCGAGATGTTTAACATCCTGCGAGCCGTTAGTTAGAAGTCCATCGCTCTAACAACTGAGCCACGGGCTCGTTGTCCCGTCGGTCGCGATCGATAGTATACGATGGTAGGGGGAGCCCACCGATCGTTTCTACGGAACTCACTCGTCTCGTTGTACCTTGGGGCTCTCGCTCGAGTCCCGCCAGCAGCCGCACAGTGGCGCGTAGTTTTCGCACATATGTATATATGTATGTACTGGATACAGACATCCTGTGAAATAGGTGGATCCTTTGGAAACGAAATGACCTTTTTTGCGTAAATTTTCGGCGCTGGTTCCCTGAATTGTCGTAAGACTTATGAATCACATATAAAAAGAGTTAAATATTTAACCATCTCGAACAAGTGCTTCTGTGGCTAGCCGAAGCCTCCGTCAGTGCGCATCAGTCGAATTTGCTCATCCCCTCCGCACTGGTTGCCCTCGCTCCCACTTGTACTTGAGAAATTTGTACGTAACATAAAAATCGATATGCCGATAAATGCATCTGTCGTCAGATTACAGGACGTGCGTGCCCGGCTGTGGCTCTGGACTCAGTCAAGAGCTTACGAAGGCAGTCTCATTGCAACCGGAACTGTGTGCCTGTGGTACATTGATAGAAAGTTCGAATAAATCAGAAAAGTATTGGAATTTGAAAGCCCGTGGTTGCAAAAGCAGGGTTAGGTGTAACTGGCCGATAATGGTTAATAGCCAGAAATGGACGCTTCAAACTCCCTAGTCTGTTTTGGTAGCCCGTTTATTATATGTGCCAATTGATGCGAAAATGTGTATCCCGGGTATAAATAAGAAGTGGCAATCACGGAACCTCACGGCTAGTATTCTGACGTGTCATAACCAAAGGGCAGGTTGTGTGCAACGCGTCAGAGTTTTTACGCCTGTTGTTTTTCCTACTGCTATTCATGCAGGATGCACTGTTGTGAGGTGCATGTGGTTGCTGTCGCGCCAATCAGGGCCTATATCCCTCTACATGTTGGGGGGGGGGGGCGGCGACGGAATAACACCTTATCCATCCGTTCAGTTTCTGCATCAAGACTTATTCCAAATCTGAAGGAACGATGTACGAGCAAATCAAAGGAACTTCGATGGGTTCAGAGCTGTCTGATTTCATTGTTGAAACATACATTCAAAGGTAAGAGACGCTTGTGTTTGTGACCCACAGACCAATATTTTGGACGCAGTATGTGGACGATAATTTCATTGTCCTCAACTGAGGAATGGTCTCCGAATTTCACACGAACCTGAAATCTGTTTTACCGGAAATTCATTTCAAAATGGAGGTGCAGGTCAACAATCAAATAAGGTTTCTAGACGTGTTGGCCCTTCTTAAGACGGACTACAGCTTAATGACAGCGTCATACCGAAAGGCCGCCAAAACATTAGGTCTTACGTTATGACAGTAATCACCCGCTATTCCTCAAAAGTAGTCCATGTGACCTCTCTGCAAAAGAATGAAAGCTAATTTCAGCGAGGCAGACGAAATAGCAGCCAAAATCCGGCTGATTCTCACTTACAATGGCTGCACTTAGAGCTTTATACTAATCAGTAGACAGCCGAAGAAACCCTACAGCCAACGACAGAACAACAAAAATTTCTCAGTCCAATTCATTATCTAAAGGGTGCAATTTTTGCAATATAAAACTCAGTGCGGTATACACCGAAAACATGCAGGTTGGGGTAATTTAAATGGGCCCATAATAGTGGGAGAAATTAGGCATGAGTCTCAGGGGTTGAGGTCGATCTGCCATCGTTCTTGTTCATTTCAGAGCATAAATATATCAAGGCCTCTTTTAAAGTTTTCTATCGATGGTGACATCACAACATGTGCGGGAGAGCATTCCATGGTTTGACCACTTTGACACAGAAGGGGAACTTCCGCACATACAGCCTCGCCAGCTGAATGCGCAGTTTTAACGGGTGACCTCGGAAGTTTGTTCGTGGTAGCGAATTGAAAGAAGTCTTCAAAAGCCAGGCTGCAGTCTACCTCTTTCACAATTCAGAGTGCCTGAAACAGATCTCCGCGTAATTGCCTATAACTCAAAGGGAGGCGGTTTTGATTCGCTAGACGCGTTGTATAATGGAAGAAACTTTGACCCCTAACGAATGTTATGGCTCTCCTCTGGACTATATATAGAACTTTTAGATATTGAACCGCTCATTGTCTCCGAGTTTGTGTGCTGTATTCCCAGCGCGGCCCAGCAAATGTTCCGAAGGAATTGCAGGAGACGCCTTCGTCAAAATCCCTAAACGTTTGCTTGATGGCGTACAGTACGGGCATTGCCTTTTTGTCACTCTCAAGCAATGAGCGGAGGGTTTTAGGGAGTTAGTCGTCAGTACAACGAGGTCCTTTTGGGCTTTGACGTCTCGCAATGTTGGATCGCTAAGAAAGTGGCCTTTTGTGCTGACGGATCTGGCTGGGTTGCCTTGGCGACGTATAGCACACTGACCGACGTTAAACCACATGAGCCAGCGGTTTGGCCACTCCTCTAACCGATGTAATTTCATCTGCAGTCTATCTCCATCGGCAGCGCCCCAGCTTACACTCCATATTTTCATGTTGTCAGCAAACAATATTGCTTCGCAGCCCAAAACTCCTGCGTAATCGTCCACATATATTAAACACAAGGTAGGTGCCAGTATTGAGCCCTGGGGAATAGCACTCTCGGCCACAGCAGGATTGAATTTTCCGTTGCACACACACAATCTGATTCTGACTCCCCGATTATTTCTAATCCATTCGGTAAACTTGCTGCTGTGTCCTTTTTTCTGTTTCGGCCAACAATCTTTCTTCTGGCACAGTGATGATTGACTCTTGAAAGTCAATGCCGGCGATATAAAGTGCATGCCGGTCGTAGAGTTGTCAAGTCTGGCGTTGAATATCACTAAAGTTAATTTTCACGCACCCAAAATTTCACTTATCTGCACCAGCTGAAATTGCTTGCTCGCGCCATCCTTGATCTGTGATTTTAAATCCTAAGCCTAATAATTATACAATATATTTACTTCTTCATATCCTTTAAGCGTTTGTTTTCGAAGATTTGTTGTGACATTATCATAGTTACCTAAATACAACCTCCTCGTATGTTGGGCTTTTTGAATCTGAACTCCACCACATAGGTTTTGAACTTGCCGTTCTTCATTCTTATGTGTGAATGCGAGATCTTGCATACTTACTCTTGCAGTTTTCTTCACCGTAACCTCATCCCTTTTTTCCACATTAGCCTCTCAGAAGCGCTCAGCCAGTGATTCCAATCATGGAAATAGGTGTTTGAATCGGTTCCGAATTATTTAAGCGAGAAAATAAGGATGAAGGCATATTTTGTGCACTTATTCTCACTTGCTTTAAATAGGCTAGCCCCGTTGCGCGCGTTTGGGTTTCCGCCTTTGCAAGTTTCTCTTCTGGTCGAATGTGCAAATTCTAAGCGAACTCAATTGCCAGAAAGTTTCATTCTACTACCTATTAGGAGCGTATGTTGTTTACTTAAGTTTAATATGCAAGAACTGCTGTTCACCATAGCGCCTAAACGGTAGTAGGATAATCCAACCATAATATATATTATGGTTGGATTATATAGTTGCCTTGAGTGCCCTGTTTGAGACGTACAGCTGGGTGCAGTGCGGAGAGATGCATTGTAGGCGGCATAAATCAAAGGGGACCTCATTTGTATGACAGTGTGGCGTAAGGCCTAGAGGTTGATTTCAATCTCTCACCGCTTTGAGCCATTTTGGAACATAAATCTGCCTAGTTCGATTCTAAAGCCTTCGAGCAATGGTGACGTCAGAAAATCTGCGGGAGGATATTCCATGGTTTGACCACTTTGTCAGAGGAGAGCTTGCGCACATCTAGCCTTGCCTGCTGAACGCGCAGTTCTAATTAGTGACCGCGGTAGCAAGCTCAAGCGCCCTCGAAGACCAGGCTGCCATCTTGTCCCTTTACAGTTTGGAATGCTCGTAAGAGGTCCCCGCACATTCACCTATAACTCAAAGGATGGAGGTTAGATGGGTTTGTGGCTCTCCTGAATAAAGTCTATAAACCGACTACTTATCAGCATTTGTAGCGAGCCACTAGTGCATAGCATGGGTCCGAGAATTGTCCTTACCATAACGATCTATTAGATCGAGGTATATGCCTGATTACAGTCGGGATAAAATCGCCTTTGAAACATCGTACTAGCTTAAAGTTGAAGGCTTATATGCGGTTGGTGATCTGACTGGCTGACTGGGCGCGGTTTGCTTACGTCAGTATAGTCTCTGACGCCACAGAGGCCAGCACGCGAGGCAATTGTTGGCAAATTGTGCCCGTAGAGACGTCTGGCAGGGGTCAGCCAATCACGCAAACTAATTGCAAACTATTCATAAAGGCCAGCCCTGTATAGTTGTGATTTTATCAGGAATAAATACCTAACGGGTGCGATTTCGTGTATTAATGGTCTGTTTTTTGGTCACAGTCGCTTGCATTTTTAGGCGTTAGCTATAACCGTTGTGCTCTGTAGCTATATCAAACGAAACTAATTTTGTGTTGGTGTTTCAAATCGAAGTGCGTGCGCAGTGCCGCTGTCGACGAATAGAAATCCCAATGGGACGTTGAATGGCCCTGTGGCTATAGCTGTTTTGTGTTAAATACTACACTGACTTTAAGTCCGTCGGATTTATGTGGTCTGTGGGGAAGTGCTGCTGAGTATGTGTTCGGTTATTCTTCTCTCAACTCGAATAAACTCCTCTTCCCCTGATTTTATTCTGATTACTTTGGGTCTTGAACCGATTTCAGATCTCACAGGCGCGTGATCGGTTTGTACATATAATTTGCACGGCCCCATGGACATAGACGAATTGGAAAGGAGGCATTTTCTTAAAACCCTTACTGCTTTCAAATTTTACCGGTAAGGCACTGGAGTCCTTTGCTGACTTGTTTTGCACAGATCACATGCCCTCAAAAAAGTATATACTCAGTTGGCGAAGTATGAAAAACTTTCGGATCACCAAAAGACTCTCATTCCAAAATTCCCTTCCTACATGAAGTCCATTGAAGAATGCATTGATTGCAATGCAAATTTTATCAACCAAATACTTGCAAATGCTAAGTCCGAGATTTTTGAGGGGGACCACGTACAAAGTTTTGCTTATCTCTTTTCTATTAAAATTTATCAGTTTTTAGTAGACCAAAACCCAACTATCAACAAAGTGGTGCAGAACGGTGATCCCGGGCAACGCTACCGGTTCGGAATCACTTCAAATGACATGGACAAGGTGCGGTCAACACTGAAGCAATTTGTTCGCGATTGGTCCACTGTAGGTGCCCCGGAAAGGCATGGATCCTACGACCCTGTCCTTCGGGAAATCCATGCAGCATTTCGCTCATCGGATAGGTAGGTTTACACGGATGACGTTCTCATTCCCATTATTCATCTAGACTGAAGTTCATGTAGACTTTTTATTCTCTCAGCCCTACAGTACTTTATTTAATATTGGCGAGCATGTGATATCGAGGGTAATCACATACTTGTGTTAATGACGATATCTTTGTGACATGTTTTGCTGCACCACGAATGGTCACACGCAGTCGGTCGGAATCTAGCCAACTGGCCAGCGAAATGACGTTCTTGACCATTCTACCACATTAAACAGCCGAGTTACTTCAGTCAGAGGCGAATTCGGATAGTATAGCGCAGATGTCCTCTGTCGAATACATACAGACGGTGTATGCTTTTGGAGCATGTAAGCCGTCTCCCATCTGTGTGTTATGGCGGAAGCGTCGTCGCCAAACTTATCTGAAGCCGATTCTCAATCTCTCGTCGAATTCAGACAAAGGCTGCGTGCGCTCGGTTGGCCAACTGGTTTATTTCATTCGTAAACTGCCAGTTCGACAGAAGCTGTCCATTAAATCTCAGAGATTGATCATCTACAATGACCCGCGAAGCCTGCGGGGGCCATATCCTTCTCGGACACGCAAGGGGGCTCGTCTACACTGCAACGTTATCTGATCACCGATAGCTCGATCGTTCCAGGCGACGAGTCAGCCAGGTGAGGGCAGCCAACTAGACTTGCGCTGCTTCTGCTTCAGTCATTATTCACACATGGCGTCAGCGAACAGTGACACTCCGACAGACTACGTGGAGACACCGATTACGAGACTAGAGTATGTTGGTTTTTTCAGTTTTTACGTCCGAAAATCCATGTCCAGCTTGTCGATGACGCGTTTCACCAGCATTCTAGAGCTCATTTTTGAAGTATTAAGCAGTATTTCGCAGGCGGCCGCCAACCTCGACTTTGGTTCGGTGTAGTGGTCGCTGTCTGTTCCTCAGGACGTTTTGTTTTTTCGAGGAAGAGGGGGCAGAAGTGAGAGAAATAAATATCGAATGTAGAGGCACACAGGAGACGTCGTCTTCAAATCTAGCCCACTGGTGGTAGCGGTAATCGGGATCTTACCTCTGCTCATAAAACAACGCCATGGAGTCAAAGGTAAGAGCCGGGTGCCGGCGCATCTGATCGCAATCGCAATCGGCCGGCCAAGCGCGTCGGTTCACCCGAAGCGACTGTACCACTACAATGTTACCCATGACCTACGCACGCACCACCACCACATCCTGGAGGACCTGGTCTGTCGTGTAGTTAAAAGGGTTGGAGCGTAGTCCTGATGAATTCTGGAGTTAACCTCAGTGGCAGCGCTCCTGTTGTTATTTACAGACTTTGATTTTCGTGCCGTGGTATCAGATCTTAATGAACCTAAGTTGCTTCAACGGTGTGCATCCATGTTCCATGATCGACCGCAGGGAATCCCGACGGACACATTAAATTCACAGATAGAATCCGTGAAACGAATGTGCAGGAGGACGACTGTAGAGACGACTCAAGCAACTTATGCCACGTTAGTCCTTAAACAGCAATGTGTCGCCCTTCTCGAGGTCCAATATAACGACAGTATCACGCCTGTCCACAGGTGTGGTTCATGTTTTCCCAATGTTAACCAGAAAGTCATGCCATATACATGTTATAATGAAACAGCACTCTCGAACTTTTGCTGGGAAGCAGTTCCCAGCTACGGTCACAGTCATATTCGGTCGCCAGGGCCTTTTCCGATTGGACGACATCTGGCGGGTTATGGAACCCTTTCAAATGCTTTACTCAGGACGGTGTAATCAATGGTTGGTCCACAATCTTACCCTGGTTGCCCAGGTTTCACCCCGATGAGCTGTCACGTGTAGTATTGACTAGATGTAGTCATAGACGGTCGGTATACTACTCGTCTACATAGCTTCTGTATGTGCATGCTCTAGTTCGGTTTCCTAAAACTTGACATTCCTCCCTCTCTTAAAAGTCAAGTGAAATTACTCAAAGATAGTAACTTGCGAGAGTGGTCGAAAATGAGTCAGCGATTGACGTCGTTTCGGTCAACTAGAGCTACCTCTGAACAAACTAATCTCCGGACTTAGCTTTTTAGATCTCACCCCCCCCCCAAACGGCCCGTTGAGCTTTCAAAGTAGCACCGGCGATCCGCTCCGCACATGTGTACCCGAACGACAGAGTATTGGCTGACCGGTGGCTCTGATCGAAAGCGCCTTTAGTTTACACGGAAGTGATCCCCCCTCTACTATCGCTTGCCGTCAACGAGTTTCTTGACAAGCCTCTACCTGACTTGGGAGTTGGGACTCAATTTCGCAATTGGTAGCGAGGGTTTTATCCCATGTGACCATATCTGTGTTTTTAAGGAGAGATTTTCTACACACGGGTGTTGTTTTTTTTCGCCCCCTACCGACTATACATGCCCCAAACGGGCCACGTGGTAGTTACGCTGGAACAACACGGGGGCCATATCGAATTCTGGCAGGCGTAATCAGATTGCACTGTATAACAAATGCCAGCATTTTGGGGTACAGTGGCAGACCCGGTTGCCGGCAGCCGTCGCGCACACTGGGATTCCTGCCCCCCCCCCCATTATTGTTGTTGGTCAAAATCTGGTCATTTGCTGTGCGGACCAGAGGGTGTGGGGTGGAACGCCAAGGTGCGGGCTCGACCGTGCCATCCACCTGCGCCCTCCCCCGCCTCCGGTCGTCTTGACATCTGGTTAGGTTGGGGAGGAGGGAGTACGGTAGGTGCTGTGCAAGTCTGCTATCACTATAAACTAATTCACGCACAAGTCGCCGTCCCTGCGCCACCTTGCTGTGAACCACACGGTAGACATCGTTGGAAACGACGGTGGAACTGTCGTTTATTGCTGTTTAGCCTTCTCTAGCTTCTTCGATAGTTTTAAAGGCGTACTTCCAATGTAACATCTCGGAAGAAGAGTGGGCTTTCACAGGTTAGTTGCATTTGAAGTAAGCGTCACAAAACACGTCTTGTGGCAGTCAGATCGGTGAAAGCAGGCGGTTTGGGCGCTTTCTTTCCCACTGTGGTCTGAAGAAATGCCCTTTTTCTTTCGAATGTGTCTTGTGTTCTTTCAGGCCCACTTCGGATATCCGAATCCTGGTCCCCGGGGCGGGTCTGGGCCGACTGGCTTGGGAGATTGCTCACTGCGGTTACACTTGTCAGGGCAACGAATGGAGTCTTTTCATGCTTCTTCCGGCGCATTTCGTTCTAAATACGTATGCCTATCCTCGCGTTTTTCTCGTCCACTTTCTATAACTCGTTCTTGTTTACTTCCACCCCCAATCCTATTTGTTCGTACTCTCTTGCCCATCCACCCCAGATCCTGAATTTCAGGTTTGACCGCTTTTGCTCTCTCATCCGACTTAATGTTTGTAGGTGCAAGGACTTGAACCAGTACACCCTCTACCCCTGGGTCACCCAGTCCTCAAACAATGTCTGTCGCGAGAACCAGCTCGCCGCGATCACCATCCCTGACGTCTCCCCCTCCGATCTCCCCCCAAATGTCCAGTTTTCCATGGTCGCTGGGGATTTCTCCGAAGTCTACACTGAGCCAGGTACACCGTCCACCCCCTTCTTTGTCATCTTATTGGAGTAGACTGGAGGGTAGCAATCTGTCGCATGTTGCTGGCACAAGTCTGGCTTTCAACTAGACACCAGCAACTTGGGGGCCTGTTTTGTTTAACCTTATCCGGACATGAAGGTTTGCAAAACAAGGATTTAGAATTCGCACAAAGTGGCGTTTATCAATTTGTACCGGTCGCTCGACCGAAGTGAGCGAAATGTATTCAAGCCTCGGGTGCGTCAGCATCACCTTCTTGGTAGTAGACCTGCTGACGATGTATGTCTTCTCCGAAACGGTGATCTGGGTGCCTCGTTGTTGCGCAAACGTTATATTGCATCAGCGACCCTTTCAGAGGGGCGGTAGCATGACAGGGCATAGGCAGGAGAGGGATAAAACGCCGCTGCGGAGAAGACCAGGGGTGTGATAGAGTGCTCATTGAAGTCGGGAAGGCGCTCGGAGCGTTCACCTCAGCGGCCGATCCTGGTCGAGTTGTCAGGAATAAAGCCGCCGTTCGCATCGCGAACAGGGTCACTGCATTGGGGTTGCCATCAACCTTGTAGTTTTCGAGTGTCACCAAAGGTTTAGGCCAGTTCCGTAATTTTTGCAGTCATGTGCGTTTGACTTTGACGCCATTTCCAGCGTTGGCGAGAGTAATCGTTGTCAGGGGACCTCACTAGGTAAACAGCCGTAAGATTGGTTGGGGGCGCTCACCGATCGTTCTTACGGAACTCACTCGTTCCGTTGTGCCTTATGGACTCTCTCTCGAGCCCAACCAGCAGCCGCACAGGGGCGCATGATATAGGCTCCAGTTTCCCTTGTCTTTGTCGGTTATATCATCCAGCCGTCACTGACAGGCCGCTGGGCGAATCTAAGAAATCTGTCAGCTGTCAGAGGACTTTACTGGTGACCATTTGTTGTTATCTTCTCCTTTGACTGGTGTCGTAAAGCACAAGTGGATTTCTGTTCTCAGGGCCTCGACTGTGCTAGTTGTATGACATCAGGCCGTATCGCGCGCGCGAACGAGAAAATAACCTGATCCATGGGAGTCCCAGTTTCCGCTCCACGCACCGATCTGCTGTCATGCGCATCCAGCTACTAAACCTCGGCCTGAAGTCGATCAGACAGGCCGTGCGGTCATCGTGTGAGTGGTACCAGGTTGGCAGATGTTTATGGCACGTGCTAATGACAAACGGCCGGTTTTGTTCAGGAAGTTTCAGCGTACTCTCACCGTCATCATCATCATCATGGGAACCGAGTCCAAAGCGCTCAATAAGGTGACTGTCCGAAGAGTCGTCCTGTCCAGCCTCCGGCAACAACCAGCAGATCACGACGAGGAAGTCATTCAACCAACTCTTGTAGCTGCTGGTAAAAAATATCTGTATCGCGCTATTCGGCAGCTGATGGTGTGTACACGGAGAGAGGACAGAGGTGCTCGTAAAATGACCCTGCAGCCGCACGTAAGCCATCTGATCATTGATTGGTTCACATGCGTGCACTGCATGGTTCACTCGTTACGAGGGCGATCATCACACCAGTGTCCGCAAGAGGTCTCGTGGGCCGCTGTGGTAGGGAGCAATGTAGGAGTTGACACTCGGGATTTTCTTGACGTCGGACAGCCAACAGACATCTCGGCAACCTTCCGCCACCATGCGCATACGAAACCTCGATATGACTAAAATAAAGTTGCTTAGACTGGTCGTACGGCCATCGTTTGATTACCGGGTCAGCGGATCTTTTCTGGCGGCGCTGGAAGCACGTATTGACTACAGAAGATCGGTTTTTTCCACAAACTTCAGCATTCAGAGTCAGTCCCAAATCGGGCGGGAAGGTGACTGTTTATCGAGTTCTCGAGCCCAGTCCGGCCGTTCCAATCCGTAGGAACAATCAGCAGCTCACGGCAAGGGTGTCTTTCAAAGAGTTCATGTAGCTATGAGTATATGTTTTTTATTACTTTTGTTAATGTCGATGCACAGACACAGACGACAAAGATGATGGTAAAGTGCTCCTTCAGCCCTACGTACACCAGTCGGTCATTCACTACTTTCCACAAGCAGCGATGGCTGGCTTGTGAGAGGCCAATCGTCACATCGTGTCTACAAGAAGGAGACGGATGTTGACCCCGGAGATCTTGATTCCCCGCGGACCGGGAAAGGCTAGGCAGGCAGCAGACAACATTATGCTGATAAAAACTGAGCACCCCCAGGCTTTGCCCGCCAGAGTCCAGGAACGCCAACGCACCAGCGTTCACTATCAAGGGGCCGTTCCCAGTTAAATGATCCAGCCCGAGTACTATTCGCCCGCATCACTGCACCAGAGTTGCGTGGCACATCAGTCCCCGCGGACGCTGTATCCGGGTCTCCAACGGCCGCCCGGATTGTTTGCTTTGAGATTATCGTGGTGGTGTTACTTGCCTATATTACGCGCCGCTGTGTGGGTACTGGCTGGGCTCGAGAGAGAAACAACCGCAAGGCACAGAAGGATGAGGGAGTTCCGTAAAAACGATCGGTGAGCGCTCCCTCTACTATTGCATATTCCTGATCGCAACCGACAAGACAACGAGCCCGTGGCTCAGGGGTTAGGAGCGTTGGACTTATAACCAACAGGTCATGTGTTAGAGCCTTGGGGTTGGGTACGGCTGACCGATGACGGCTAATACGCCATAAATGGCCATTCCAGTCTCCCCTGTCTTTGTCGGTAATGACATTCTGCCTACATCGTACGCCCCGCTGTTCGGCTGCTGGCGGGGCCCGAGACAGAACGCCAAGACACAACGGGACGAGTACGTTCCGTCACGCGACTGGTGCGCGCACTGACTCAAGAACCTAACCACAGGAAGGCGGTGTCGAGCAAATACATTTTAGGCAGTGCCCTGTGATCTGCCTTCGTGATACACAGTCGGCGTACCAGACTTTACCCCTCCACGCCTCGGTAGCACTGTCGCTGTTGGGTCCAAGAGCCTGCCCATTTCACGGGCTGGGTGGCTGGCGGACGGTTTCATGGCATAAAGATCAACCAGCACAGGGGAGATTGGAATGGACACTTCATTCGACTGCCATACCGTAACCCCTGACCGAGAGAAGACTCCAGTCGGTCACTGGGCCATATTGTTTCGCCCCTTCTTGTGGCTTCTGACCATGATGAGTCAGTATATTCACGACCCCGAGGCCTTGCCATGGTGGGTTACCTTAAAGTTATCTAATACCTTTATAGAAGAACAGCATCTAGACCTGACAAACTGTTTATGGTAGTAACAAATGCTTCTGTGATGTGACTATGAATGACCGTATGGTTCGTTCACTCAAATTTTTCGTCTTGTCGTAGACTCCTGGGACTGTGTAACGACAGTCTTTTTCATTGACACCGCGCACAACATTCTGGACTACTTGGAAACTATTTGGAAGATCCTCGCACCCGGCGGTTATTGGATCAATTTCGGTGAGTCTTTTGTTTTACTGGGGGTTCCAGTCGTCATTGTGTGGTCTAAACACCATCCAGTAAAGAGAAAACTTTTCCATTCCCAGTAAAGTTTTTTATTAGCCTCATTATCCATGCTTGTTTGTTTTCGTGCCAACGACGGACGATTAACAAAGTACGACTTGAAGTTGAGTCGCCCCTATTTGCTACCACAATAGGGCTCTAAGTGCGTGGACCAGAGCACGATAAAATCTATGTTCTTTTTTGGGAGAGGGGGGAGAGGGAGCACATTTTGGCGATATGTGTAAACAGGCGCTGGAGTCTGATGAACAAGTAGGAGCAAACTGTCTGTGGTACTGCTAGCAGAGTGCGAAAGACTGCTCTGTGAGGTGCTGCAGATTCGAATAATTGCCCCGCCCTCACATTAGTCCCAGCCTCTCAGTTCGGTCCAGTTGACAGCCTGGAAAACAGACGTGAGCCTGCCTAGAACGTAAAAACTAGGTTAGAAGCAGGCAGTAGGGGTTTTCTAAAGAGGGGCTCGATCAGCTCTCCGAGTGTTTGTATGCAAATTGAGAGAGGGGTTGTGCAGGTTCGCCAGGTGAGCAGTCAGTCTTAAGACTTTTCGAAGCATTGTCCAGACCCGGAATTGCTCAAGGTCGTCTCCCATCGTGTAGTGTGCACACTGCACTTTTAGCCACTTTCGACTTATGACTTTAAGAATCTTAACATTCACATACCAGGAGAAGTGCGCATACAATCTGCAGTTAGGTGCAGATGACGGTTACGTGTTCGAATGTTGACCTTGACAACGAGGAACCGCGCTCATGCGGAGACCAATGCGCAGTCGGTGAAAGGTTGCCTCTGAGACCGCGAGACGACCTGCTTGGAACCTTATCCGGGTAGATTACACGTGACAGTTCGACCGTCGGACAGTCACTTCGGTAGCAAGGCTGGGTCAGGACGACCGCAGACGAGCTCACACACGGTGGCTGACGAAACTAAACAGCCCGTGTACGCGTGCCACACACGATCTGCGTCGACCTCTTTCCTTTCCCACACACCACATCGCTGTCCGTGCCTATCAGCCATCTGGTGCTGGAAGTGAACACGGTATGCGTGGACGTGCCGCTCCCCCCCCCCCATGCGCGTGGATTCTGCGCAGTCCGGTCGTCGCGTGTCGTGGTCCAGCGTATTTGCAGAGTGGCCAGTGATTGGGGCCACTGCATGAACCCATCAACAGGGGCAGACTTCCTGTAAAAACCTGACAGTAGGCTCCATGCTCCAATTGCTTTTGAATGGCGTCCCGGGTTTACTGTTTTATTGTTGTATTCACGAGTTCCTTCCGTCCCCAGGTCCTCTGCTCTACCATTTTGCCGACGTGCCGGGACAGGATTCAATTGAACTCAGCTATTCCGAAGTGCGAGAAGCCGCTGAACTCATAGGCTTTGAAATCCTGGTAAGAATGTTGGAGAATTTACCGGAAGCCTATAAACACACCTACTTAATTACTTTGAGTAGCTACCGCTTTTTCGTGTGTTCCGTTTTAGAAGGAAGAACAAGACCTCCCCTCAACCTATACACAGGACCCAAAGTCAATGCTGCAGTACCACTATAAGTGCGTGCTGGCCGTTTTCAGGAAGCCAGTCGCAGCCCAAAGTGCACCACAAGATTGAGATGGGATAGTGCTTATTTTTCATCATTCCTACTGAGAGCACCCAAAACAAGATACTGCTACAACTTCATTTGAACCTCTTTAATCCATTCGCTTGTGGGCCTACCCTGCTTTTTTGTCCCACGAGATTCCCAGCTGCAGCACTGAGGCCAGATCATCCGTTAGTAGGGGATTTCATGGTCTTCTTACTTAAGCCTAGCGTTTTTCGATCTATCCCAGTTCCAGTCGAAGGCGAATGCTCAGGGGGTGCGCTACTAGCACGGCGAGAAGGCTTGTTTAAATGGCAAAAAGAATCACTTAAAAATAACTGTACAGTACATAAGCAGGGCGACTTTAAGGGATTAAAAGTTGTCTCGACTGAGTTCATCATCCTCTGAGTGGCTGAGCGCAGGTCCAAACGGGTCGTCTAGGAGTTCACCACCACGCTGGAATTCATCGTCCTCGTCTCCATCACCCAAACCCACGTCCACATCATCCAGGACGATCTCAGCGGCCGCGTGGGTGTCCTCCACGCCTGTGGGCGAATCAGGTCGTTGACGACGATCGGCCGGCGCACGATCTATCATAGAATCGCATTCACTGCTGCTGCTACTGCCGCCGCCGTCGCGGTTGTCATTGCTCAAGTTCTCGCCGGCCGCATTGGTATCGTCCTCATCACCTGAGTCGGAGAGTAGGAGCTGGGCAGCCAACTCGTCTTTCAGAGTGTCACCCTCGGCTGGCGCGTCCTGTTGGGTGAATAAGAAAAGACCATATACGGCGACTTCCGATTAATTGGGCCAACATGTTTCAAATGAACAAAGCGGTTGGTAATAGAAGCGAAGAGACGAGTCCCAGGAAGTAGTCTTGAAGAAGAAGACACGATCGCTGGGACAAGGGCTTTATTAGCCCGACGTTTCGGGTTCCTGCTCGAACCCATCATCAGAGACAGCAGCAGATACGGGTGATTCATGCACCAGTGGCTGTAGTATTTATAGGATGCAGTCGCCACGCCACCGCATTCCTATGAACATTCACGGCTCCCCCCTTCATCCGGGATCGTTGCACGTGGTTTGTTAATTGCTTGATGGCCGACGTTCGCGTCGTCAATTGCTGCAATAATGCTAACAGTAGGTGGGCTAACTCATGAAATGTCAACTGAAATTCCGAAACGCATTTTCGTTTCGAAAAGATTAATCAAGTCGGGTTGTAAAGCTGATCATCGGACAGCATAATTCTATAATAATTCAGTTACCTCAGGATGCCGGGTTTCGAAAGAACTTCCTTCCAACTGCATGCAAAATTTATACTTTGTAAAAAGTGACCACTTAAGTAGCGTGCATTTTTCTCATTGATTTTCGATGCCCTTAAAAATTTAAATATATTTCATGAAAAACATGCTATAAATACTCATTCTTTCGCTCGTTCGGTAGAAAATTACGTCCTCTTCCAATTTTATACTCGAAGGAGGGGTATGATTCGGTTTTCAAAAACTTTTCCAACTCCCCAATAATTTTGAACCCGACCTGCCGTTACACTAGCATTCAGGGCTTCCAAACTACAAGCCGTATATTTTCCACGTACGGAAAGCCATACATTTTTCTATGGCATTAAGGGAAGACTATATCTGTTTCATAAAATAAAGCAATGGATTTGAGCCATACTGTTAACTTTACAAGCCACATTGGTAAGTGCTGAGACGTGACGTTTTATGAACGATCGTTTCACGGTATTAAAAAATCTCAATGAAAAACTGTTAAAACCGAATGATATCCGTCCTTCGGGTATAAAATTGGAATATGACGTAAATTCCTACCGAATGAGTAGAATAGTGAATAGCTTTATGCATGTTTTCCATGAAATATACTTGAATTTTTAAGGGGATCGAAAATCAACGAGGAAAATGCACGCCACTTAAGTAGTCATTTTTTGCAGAGTCTAAATTTTGCATGTAGCCGGAAGGAAGTTCTTTCGAAAGCCGACACCCTGAGGTAACTGGCTCATTATAGAGTTATGCTGCACCATGATTAGTTTTACAACCCGACTTGATTAATCTTCTCGAAACTAAAATGCATTTCGGAATTTCAGTTGACATTTCATGAGTGAGCCCACCCACTGTACAGTAGATGTGCTAACTCGTGAAATATTAGCGGAAATTCTGAAATGTGTTTTGGACTTAAATCATCGTGCACCAAAATCCTATGCTGATTCAGTTATTTCGGGATGCCGGCTTTTGAACTAACTGCTTTTCGGCCGCCTGCAAAATTACAATGTGAAAATGACTACTTAATTAGTATGAATCTTTAAAATTGATCTTCGATGCCCCAATAAGTTCAAGTATATTTCGTAGTAAAACGCGCATAGAAATATTCATTATCTTACTGATTCGGTAGAAAATTATGTCTTCTTCAAATTTTATACTTGAGGGAAGGGTAGAATTTGGTTTTACAAAAAATTTCTAACTCTCGAATAAAATCATACCCTTCTATCTGTTAAGAGGAGACCGTATCGGGTTTGTAAAATTCAGTTGCGGATTCGAGCTACACTGCAAACTTTACAAGCAGCATTATTAAATGCAGAGACACGATGTTTTATGAACTGGCATTCCACGTTTTTAAAAAACCTTATAATTAGGAACTTCCTTAAGACCGAATCGTACCCTTTCCCTCACGTAATTTTCTACCAAATCAGTAAAAGAATGAATATTTTTTATGCAGGTCTTCTATGAAGTGTATGTGAATTTATAAGGACATCGAAAATCAGTGAGAAGACCCACAATACTTAAGTAGCCATTTTTTGCAGAGTGCAATTTGTGCAGGCGGCCGGAAAGCAGTTGGTTCAAAGGCCGGCATCCCGAAGTAATTGAATTATCATAAGATTTTGCTTCACGATGATTAGTATTACAACACTACTGAAGTAATCTTTTCGAGTCAAAAACGCATTTCATGGGTTAGCCCATCTACTGTAGCATTGGATTATTGGTTTCCTTTTTTGGCTCACCAGATCAGATCTCACTGAGTGAGAGTGCCATAGAGGTCACATTCCCAAGGAGCCATCGCAGCCTGACTCTCTCTATCCACCAGTCTACCACTCAACTCACAAACACACATTAGGCTGACTGCGGGGTTCGAGTTATCCGGTCAGATGGCAGCCCTACGAGCCCTCTTAGCGCATCGTGATAGATTCGAGCGCGTCAGACTGTTTGTAGTGAGGACTTACGCACTGAGACTGTCGACTTGGAGTCGGTCAACCTACTTATACTGAGATTGGAAGAGATCGTTGTGAGCTGGGCGGTGTGAGTGGGTACGTCTGTACTCAGAGCGCTACTATAATCAGGGCAAATCCTAGTGTTGTGGGGAGAAGACAGAAGGCACCAGAATGAGGGGTTTATTGTGCACAGAACCCGGAGTTGTCCTCGCAGGCGGCAGTGGCCACTGGCGAAGCCAGGGCTGGTGTTGACTGCGTCTAGTCATGCCTGAGAGTACCTGAGACAGCGGTGGCAGCCGCCTTTGTAGGCTCGCAGGCCAAACTCAAGTGGTCCCCAGTCGGCGTGTGTTGCAGTTGCCGAGGGGTGGTGTCCCAGTGACTTAGCTTGTGGTTGCAGGGGGCGGTGCGTTCAAGTAGCGCATGGGGTAGCCGCGACGCCGTGTGGATGCAATTGTGTCCGAGCTGAAGTCGGACGTGTGGCTTCAGGTCAGCGCGTCTGGAACGGCTCGCTACAAAGGGGTGAATGACCTTCAGGCAGCGAGGTCTTAAACAATGACGCCAGACCGGTCATGGTGACTGGCCGCCACAAGATAGCCAACAGAGACAAGGGTAGTCCGCCTATGCGTGTCATCGGGATTTCACGCAAAAGGGGTACGCTGCCCGGATCTCACATGTGGCAGAGGAGCAGTATAGAGAAAGGGGCAAAAGAGTACACTTCCCACGTACGTGAGAGGTGATGATGTGAGATGTCGAAGATGTCCATGAGTGGTGCATACCTTGATGTGGTCATGGCTGTGGTGATTTGTTGCAGGTTTTCATGAAGGTGTATGTGACCGAATAGGCCCGTGTGGTGGCCGAATGTGCGAGGGCAGTGCGGGCAGTTGAGACGATGGCGTCTGGTGTATATTGATGCACCATGCCCCGATGTGCGATGAATCCGCTAGTGACGGACCGGGCCGATGCGTGCGATGGATGTGCGGTGCGGGCAGAATAGGTTGCGAGATGCTGTTAGTGGATGGGCGCGCCGGTGGATGGGAAGCTGATTGGGCTGGGGATGGGAGAGTTAGCGGATTTGCAAGATGTCCATATTGCGATGAATTCCGCTATTGTGAATATAAATGTGGCCGAATAGACCCATGCGGTGATATGCGTGGACAGTGAGAGAGGGAGCGGCAAGCGCGCGTGGGAGCTACTGGCGCACTGGTGCGGCGGTCGCAGTGCGACGGATTCGCAGGTGGTCGATCAGGCCGATGGACGTGCGATCGCAATGCAGACAGATTGGGGCCGAATCCAAACCGCGGGGGGCGAGGGTAGTGACGAAGGAGACTTCGGGGGCGTTTTCACCGATGGCAGAAGTGGAGGCCGTGGTGATCGTCGTCGCGGAATTTGTGGCATGGATGATAGAGATGCCCGTGAACAACGACGGCAGGACAAGAGTGTTATATCCCCCAATAGTATGACGCCAGTTCTGTGCGGAATAAAAGACCGACAGGAAACCAGAGAACAGCTTTACTGCGTCAGTCACCCTGTGTACATCAACTCTTAATCCTTCCGTCCGTGGCTTCGTATTTAAGGGTTCAGTCTTCGTCTGGTTTGCGTGTTCCTACTGGTCCAGTCCTGAGCGCCCCGCATGGGCAGGCCCTCGCGTGTTGCTGACCCCTGGAGGTCGCGAGTGACTCAGCGGCGTGCTAATGTCCGGCTCGCATGCGGGCTTCCTAGGCGAGGCTGTCCTGACGTCCTACCAAAGAGGACGCTGAGCATTGATGGTGAGGGCAGTCGTAGTGGACGCCGTAGCCAGCGAGGCAGTAGCTGGCCTTG